TGTGTGTGGGAGTAATTCTCAAAAATCAATAGACATCTGCCATTGACAGGTCACACAGGTTCACATGTGATGGGTGGTTTTGGGTGGTGTCTCCACAAAAACACACAGAGAGAGCCGCCAGCCACTCGTGCTTTTCATTTGTCAAGTGCCTGTCTCTGTTTTTGAGCGTCAGCAAAACTTTCCGGCACCGAAATGTAAATCACACAAAATTCTGTTTAAAGAGGTAAAGTCTCGCCACAAATGCTGCATGTGGCTTTGGCTGTGGCCACTGCAATTAAAGCCAAAGAAATCACCACATCATGCAAAGATTACAGTCTGTTTGTGCCACAAAATCAAGTTAGTTGGGTCTTCCCCAACGCACAAGTGCGTCAAGAGCTGTGAGATTTGTGGCTGCTGCCTACTATCGATCGCTAACTGAGTCATGGACGAGTGTCAGCTGAGAGATACTTTCAAAAAAAAATAACAAAAACGCGATTATTTTTCCCACTTACATGGGGATTTTTCTTTTGATCAAAATTCTTAGTGTGTTCTGTCGGGAAGGGGACACTTTGTGTGTTTTATTTTCAGAAACGGAAATGCTGCGGTTGAAATGAGATGAGAAGATGTCACAGATTGCTCTGGGGCTTGTCTTTGGGGGAATTCCTAAATAAACGAGTTATGAGGAATTGTATGGGGAATCATTACCAGATGTGTCAGGTGTGGACTGGATGCAAAGATAAATTGCATAAATGGGCTGTAGACATGTTAATTAAGGCAAATAAACACTGGAATATCCTATGATGCGTGAACGAAGCGTTTTTGTAGCTCAATAGTCTTCTAATAAGTGTGTCTAGCTGTCGGATCGTTGAAGCTACATTTCGCAGAAATATCTCACTACTTTTGCCACTTACTTGGTTGGATTTTTCTTGTATCAATATTCCAAAAGTGTCACTAAATGGACACTTAAAATCGTTAAAAATTCCTCTCCATTCCTTCAATATATGCCCAAATATCTGTGTGTCTGCTTGCAGCACAAATGACAAATTACATGGGGAATTTTTCCTTTTAGTTTATCATCAAAATAGGAAATGCTGCGACTTCAACCACAAGCGAAGATATCACCAATGGCTCTGCCCCTCTGTTTGATTTGCATAATTCTGTGCAGATCTATTTCCTAGGAAACGTTCTATATATTTTTACAATAGTATTTATTATATTTTTTGGGCATCAAGAGAATGAATTGACAAATTTTTTTGGGTTTCTCTATGTCAAACCTGTTGCCACAGACTATTTAGCATAAAACGCTTAATATGCTCCACTAACGTCCAGTTTTTTATTTGTTAGAAGACCATTGATAAGCTACCGTTCATGGATGGCATCTGTTTATGGAAATTGTGTCCAAATATGTGTCTTAATGCTAAGGCAATTGCTAGGCATAGAGATCCCGCACGAAGGTCGGGCACTTTCTAAGGTCTGTTTATGGTCGCCCCGGGGCTGTGGGTTCTAATATCTGGTGTCTGGGGTGTTAGTACTAGTGTTTAGCATTAACATAAATTGCGATTCAGTCCGATCGGTAGCAGCTGGCCATAGAAACTAGTAACAATTTCATTAGGCCAGCTGTCTGGCTGGCTGGATGATGTTTTAGCTTTTGATCTAAGATACTTTCAATGCTTAACGAGGGCGAAAAGTGGTGGCGGCGGCTAATTACAGCCAGCCGAGTGCCACGAGAATCCAGATCGTGTGCCTGTGTGTGTCTGGGGGTTCAGCTCTCATTTATGTAATGCAATACTTAATCAAATGCCACTGCATTCTAAATTTAAATTTTTTTCCAACACGTGTGTGCTCGACGAACCACAAAAATTCCATTGAACTTTTGCGACATTTTTTTGCGTGCAGGAAGTGGAGCTTGTTGCTTAAGTCTTTTGATTATGTCGGAAACGAGAGACGCGCCGCTTTGCTCTTAAATAAAAAGATAATGTGCGATGTTTATGACTGTGGATGTAAAATTACAACAGCAAACTTTTGCATAATCCTCTTCTAATGTGTCATTAATCAAATGAGGGCATTATCTAATGGAGTGTTGCAGATGACAGGGCGCTATGCACGGCTCGATCTACACTACATTGTAGTTAAAATCGCTCAATCAAAGGCCAAGTTCAAACCGCACCCGCCATAAAACTGGCCCATTGTCTTAACCACAAAAATATATACAATATTGAGCGAGTATATTGACAACTAAGGCCGCAAAATTCGTTGAAAAAAAAGAAAGAAAAAACAAACACACACAAAGGTTCAATGAACGGCAGCGGCAGGTCCAAGGGAGCGCTATTTTTAAGCTCAATTTAATTTGATTTTGGTTTGCATTAATTGGCCAGATAATCCCTCTCCAAAAACTGATTCACAAACGGAAGTCCAAGTCAAGTGGCTGACTAAAGAAATTCTTGTAAATTAAATCAACTGCAACGGCAACGGCAACGAGGCAGAGTGCAAGGCTTGTAATTTAAATTTAGAAAGTAAAAGGCAATATGCTCTCTGTCTCTGGGATAAGCAAATGCTGACTTTGCTGACTGCCTGACTGGCTGACTAATCAGATGTATGATTGCATGTTATTTGCACATTCTCCTTGATTTACAACCGCCACGCCGCTAACTACACACGAAATCAATAAAATTCATTTTAACGTGCCCATTACACCAATGTAATACAATAATTACACACATTGCCACCCAAGAATACCATTTGGCATGGCGATTGCACAATGCACTCCTGCAGAGAGTCGATATTTAATGGCTAATAATCGCATTTTTACGGGAGAGTTTGTTTTTTTGTAGGAATTCCCAGGGGAATTAAAATGTATTAAATATTGGTATAAATATAACACCAGTTAAGAGTCGATAATGGAGACTTTTATGCACGATTTTTCTATGGGGAATTGCGAATTTTAGCTATTTCTATTTTATATTCATAATTATATGAACTTTAATGGGTGTAGAATTATTATGAATTGATATTACTGTTGAAACTAATCTTAAGGATTATTTCTGAATGCAACTATTAATAGATCAGCGCCAGCTATAGTACACCAGCACCTGCAGCCAGCTGATGTACCCAATTAAAAGTAATATTCCCACCCATTGGCATGGTGGTTGCTTGGCTCGGTTGGCGGCGAAAGCTAAACAACTTTTAGAACTTCTACTATGTAGATACAAAAGTGTTAGAACGGAATATAGAAGTGGCTTAACGCCATAGCAACAATTACGAGTAAAACTGCATTAAATGTTATGACCTTTTTGGTCAGCAACGTAACGACGACGCACAAATATACTTATAATTTTTTCGTTTTGTTTGTTTGTGTTCATGATTATTATGTATTATTGTTGTTGTTTTTATTTTGAGTTAGCCTTTTTTTCCCAATGAGCTCGTAAATTATGCAACAATACTGCCACACATAAATCTACAGCCCGGAGGCTATTTTAGAATGCTGCTAAAATCGCTGCGTGACTCCACCGTAGAGACTCCGTTTAAAAAATTATATTCTAAATGCCCCTACGCCTACAAGGAATGCCGAATCTCCCTTGCATGTCAATAACATTGAGAGAATTTCTTAAAATATAAAAATCGTTACGCAACTGCCGGCATTTAATTAGCGCATTTTAAATCCAAATTTGCACTGAATTTATTATGCTTATTTAAATTCAAATTTTAATGTTAGTGCCGGTTTTCTTGCAGGGCCGCTTTGTTTGCTTTAATTTCCATATATTTTAAAAGCTCCTTTCCATCGATTGGATATTGCTGCCGTTGCTGGTGAATAAACCAATTAACATGCAAAATAATTGTTATAAATAAAAAATCACAATCGCTGGCCGGCCAGAACCGGATGGAATTTTCTGCCAGGCCATATGTCAGGTCATTAATCACTGGGAGTCATGACTCAAAGACTATCTTTAATATGGAGTATCTACTAATTCAAGCGCAAAGGTGTTGAAACCCCAATGTAATGACAGCTCCATTAATTGCTGGAAAATCCAAACTGAATCAAAGAAGACGACGGTTCAGAACCAGTCCGCAGGCCGCGAGTGTTAGTCATGCACAGCGTGGTTTGGTTTGGTTTGGTTTTTTTGTTTTACAATTTTTGATCGTTAATTATCAGCATGTTTAATATAATTGGGTGTTTTTCCTTAACCCCCGCGAGTTCTGGGACACGTCATAAAGGTAGCGTTCTGTCAGCAAGGTATTTGTTGCCTGCTCCAAGTCCAAGTCCATGCCATGCCAGAGATTCTTGAAATATTTAACTCTAAAGGAATCTAAAGCGAAAGCCAAGCAAATTCTTTAGTAGCGGATGATAATTATAGCTGATCAATTGCTTTCAGCAATTCGAAAGCGCACTCGAGAGAGACCCCTCAAGCAAGCATTTGCCACACGTTTTTGATTCGTTTTCAAGATCGTGCTTCATTCTAGAAGACCTGACCAGATGATAGATGTATATCGCATAATAAATACTAGGGGGATACACTTGTAGCCACAGCTGGCAGCAGTTGTTTTTTTCGTTGTCTGCAATCTGTGTCTGTGTTTGGGGGAGAGCTGGAGCTGGTGAAGGGCACACCGCACTCACTCCCCCTGGCAATTGTATGCAAATGAACGCGTGCCGCCGTGCATTGAGCTTTCCGATTGCATAATAATTACTATATGTATTCCGTAATTTAGCGAAATTAGTATGCCTGCAAAAAAAAGTTTCTTCGTACAATATGCAATAGAATTCTTTATTGTAATTTACTTTTTGTTGTGTGTTGTTGTTTGCTGTGTTTCTTTTGTTGTTGTTTATACATACATTTAGATTGTACACATTGTACAGCATATAATATATAATATATATATAGTGTATGTATATATTTGATTCATTATTAATATAATATTTTGTTTAGCATTGTGTGGTTCTTTAAATATGTTTGTTTCTGCTCTTTTATGCTCTAGGTACCGCTTTTTCTTCCTTCTTCTATAATCTTCGATTTGTTGTTGTTTCATTTATAAACTATTTTTTGTGTATTCATAATGAAAATTTAAAATTTAACTGCGAAAAACGAAAGCTTTAACAACTTAATCGATTACGGGTAGAGGGCCGGGCAGGGGACTCTATATATATTTTATATTTATATTTATTTTAACTCTCTCTCTTGACTCTATTTTCTTGTGAATTTTTCCCTCTCTAATTTTTAATAGCGACTAAGACACTTTTCCATTTTTCATAAATTTTTCCATCTAATTTCGAATCAATTAATGTTTTTTTACACCGTTTAAAGCTACAATTTTGAGATGTGTTTGTTTTACCAGTTTTTATGTACAGCAAAAATGGTCGAGAGTATTTCTAAATATTTATTTTTTTTGTGGGAGGGGTGGAGGGCGTGTAAGTGCTGAGGGTTTTCCTTTCTTTGTGGCGGAATGTTGCACAATATGTTAGATGGGAGCATGCTCTGTTTTGTAATTGGTTTATTTGTGTTTTTGGGCGTTTGCTTAAGAGCTTACTTAGCATATTTAACAAAAGTTTATACAATTTTTGCTTGGCTTTCTACAAACTAAAAGTGTGTGTGTGTCCTTTATGATAGATAGTAGTTCGGTTTTGTGTGCCTGCTGCTCTTTGCTTAGTTTTACGTTTAATAAATATTTCAACAAATTGCCGGCATGCTGCTCGATCACCCTGCCTTCCTTTTCTGCTTCGATAATAGTCATTGTAATAGTAGATAGTTACGTAATCAATAATAATATTCATAATTTACACGTTCTAATTTGTAAATTCTGTGGAAATAAACTAAAAACTAATTATAGTCGGGGTATTCTTTGAATTTCTATTCTCCTCCTGCTTCGCTTGGTTCTTTCATCATTTTGTTTTGTTAATTATTAAAAACAAATTAAGTTTAATTAAATCAAAATTAGAGGCCTAATTAGAGCTACGCCTAGTACGAGTTAATTGTCATAAAGTAAAGGCTTAGAACTAGTACTAAATACTAACTAAAAAGACCAACTAACTGGCTAATTGGGGGCGCAAGGGTTCGCTTCGCTTCACTTCGATTTGGTCCAAGGGGCGCAACTGCAGTCAAAATTGAAGGAAAAATTGCACAAAGGATAGGGAAAGGAGACGGGGGGTATCGTGAAAATAAGGACACAGGAAATTCGAGTCTTAAATATTAAACAATATCATTTAGAAACAATTACGCCCCAGGACCTCTTTCGACACCACACAATAAAATCTCTCTGGCCTGGTTGAAACCGTTCTGCCCTGCTGTTAAATCTATTTGCAATCTCATAGCTGTGTGGCTCCTGTGGCTGCCGCTGATGTGGCAGCTCCTGTGGCCGTTGCTGCCGCTGTTGCTGATCCAGTTGCCGCCCCCGTTATGTCGTCCCCTTGGAGATCCACGTTGGCGGCACTGGCGTACTGCTAAAACCATGACTGCCTGTTAATGTCATACGGCTTGGGCATGCCCAGTGTTGCGGATCGATAGGCGGATGGCGGTGGTGGCGGTTGGCCATAACCGGCCGCTGCTGCCGCCGCCGCTGGTCCCCCCAGCAGGCTCTGGTTGAAGATCATTCGCGTGTGGAAGTCATCGCGCCGCAGATACTGCTGATACAGCTGAGAATTTGGATCCGGGAAGGGATATGCCGCCGCTGCGGCCGCCGCTCGGGTGGATGGATGTGCGGCCGCCAGGAAGGGATACGATCCGGCTGCCGTGTTCAGTGGATTCTGTGTCTTGTCCGCTCCATTCCCAGCCGCATTGGCTACCGCTGGTAGCTGGTGCGCTGGTGCCGGTGGCATGTAGTAGGGATTGGTGGCATCCCGGAACTGATCCAAGTAGCTGCTGGCAGCCGCAGCCGCCGACTGATCGCCGTACAGGCCGAGTGCTCCGGGTGTGGGCGCAAAGTTAAAGGCACTGCCCGGCACCATGCCACCTGTGGAGGTTTTGAGGGATATTGCCGCGGCATCTGCTGCCGTTTGATTGCTGCCATTCGCTCCTCCGGTTGTGGGCGTGGCCGCCGCACTAGTGGCCGACGAGGAGACGCCGCCCGATTTGAGTCCAGCATAGAGCTGGAATCCCTGTGGCATGTTGTATTGCGCCATTGTCTGCTGGTGTTGCTGCGCCGCCGCCGCCGCCGCTGCCTGTTGTTGCGCTTGCTGCTGCGCTGCCGCCTGCTGTGCGGCAGCCGCCTGTTGCTGCTGCTGCACTTGTTGCTGTTGCGCCTGTTGCTGCTGCTGCTGCTGTTGTTTAGCTGCCGCAGCCGCTGCCTCCGCAGCAATGGTGGCTGCCTTCTTCTTCCTGCCACGCTTTGCTGGTGCCTTGACCTCTGGGGGAGGTGCTGCTACCACAGGAGCCTGATGCTGCTGTTGCTGTTGCGCGGGATTGTTGCTGCCGGGCACATAGTTCCCGGGCAGTTGCTGTGCTGGATTGCCATACGCTGTGGCCGCTGCACTCGAGGCACTGAACATGTGAGCCGCCGGCGGCATGGCCTTGTCAAAGTAGTTTCCGGGATAGCCCAGCATCGACTCGGTGAGGCTGTGCATCAGCGGATTGTTGTAGGTCTGCGGTGGCGGCGGTGTCGGCTTGTTGTATGCCGCCAAATGGTGCGTCTGGCTGAGATGATGCTGGTGCGCGGTCGAGGGTAGATGCATCATGTTGCTCGCATCGCTGACGACTGCTCCTGCGGCCTGTGTGACTGGCGGCTTATCCGTCGTCGCCTGCTGCTGGTGCTGTGTCGTATAATTATGATTTAATTGCGATTGCTGCTGCTGCTGGTAGTTGTGTTGCTGCTGCTGTTGCTGCTGTTCCTGTTGTTGCAGTGGCAACTTTTGAGCCTGCTGCTGCTGTTGTTGCTGGTAATTTTGATTATGCGGCGTTTGCAGCTGTGTCAAGTGTGGCTGCTGCGTTTGTTGCTGATTCGTTTGCTGCTTGTTGCCGCTCGCCTGTTGCGTTGCTTGTTGCTGCTGCTGTTGTTGTTGTTGTTGCTGCTGCTGCTGCAGCTGGCAACTGTTGTCCTTGCCAAAATCCTTGGGGAAACCCATGGCTGCCGCTCGATTGTACATCTCAAATGCCTTATCTGGCGCAATGTTGCCCAACGGCTTGCCAAATGTGACGGTACCCAGGAAACTGTTGAACATTTGCTGCTGCTTGGTCAAGTGAGATTGCGTGTGGTTTGGCACCTGTTGCTGTTGCATCTGTGGCGGCGTCTGCTGTTGCTGCATTTGTGCTGGCGCTTGCTGCTGCTGCTGCATTTGAGCGGGCGCTTGCTGCTGCTGCTGCATCTGTGCTGGCGTCGGCTGCTGCTGCTGCATCTGTGCTGGCGTCTGCTGCTGCTGCTGCATCTGTGCTGGCGTCTGCTGCTGCTGCTGCATCTGTGCTGGCGTCTGCTGTTGTTGCTGCATTTGTGGCGGTGTTTGTTGCTGCTGCATATGTGGCGACGTCTGCTGTTGCATCTGTGGCGGCGTCTGCTGCTGTTGTTGCTGCATCTGTGCTGGCGTCTGCTGTTGCTGCTGTGGCGCAGTATCGTCTATTTTCGGCATTTTACTTGCTGCATTTCCACTGAAATCCATGCCCAGCTCCTCGCCGGGTCTCTTAAGCGGATTGATCAGCGTCTCCGTCTTCGGCGGCTGCTGAATTTGTTGCATAAATGTGGCCATGTCGCTGCCATAAGTAGGGGGCACAATTTTCTGTTGCTGCTGCTGCTGCTGTTGTTGCTGCTGCTTGTCCACTGCATCGGCTGCTGCTGCTGCACTGGCTGCCGCATTGGTGGATTGATACTGCGCGTACGTTGGATATTTGGGTTTCATTTGCTGTTGCAGCCCTAAGACTTGTTGTTGCGCCGCTGCCTGCAACTGTTGCTGCTGCTGCTGCTGCTGTTGCGTTGCCTGCTGATTCACGTTGTTGGTAATGCTCGGCGGCAACAGACTGCGATTCAGACTCCATTCATTGTTCGGTTTCGTTATGGAGGCAGCCGCCGAGGACACAGCTGCCGCCGCAGTGGGCAGTGGATTGATCAACGTTGCCGGATTATACAACGATCTTTGCTGCTGTTGCTGATAGCCATCTAACCCGGAGCCATAGCCATTGTTGCCAAGAGCTGTACAAAGAAGAAACAACATATAAATCCACCTTTCCCATAAGGAACTCCATTCGTAGACTCACCTGTTGGTGCCACAGCGCTGGTGGTTGGCTGTACCGCTGGTGCCGCACCAATCACAGGAGGTTGCACCACCTGTTGCTGCTGCTGCTGCTGGTAGGGCGACAGCACTGGCTGCTGATACGGCGAATGTTGCTGCTCTGCCGGAGACTGGGCCAGCGGCGTTGGCGGTTGTGTGGCTGCTGAGGATGCAGGCGATCCCACGCTGCCTTGCATCGGACTGTGCGCCTGCTGGTGCGCCGCCGGACTGTGTGAGGATTGTGAGCCACCGCCGCCGCCGCGCTGCTGCTGTTGTTCCGCCTGCGGATGATATGGTGAGTGCTGCTGCTGATGGTACGGCGATTGGCCATGATACGGCGACGGTTGCGTCTGCTGGGGCGTCGTGTAGGGCGAACTTTGTGGCTGCTGATAGGGCGAATGGGGATTCGGTGTGCTCGGACTCATGGAGGAATTGTAATCAGATTCCTGGGAGCGCGGCTGCTTGTACTGATCGTAGATGGGCAGCGGAGATGTGGACGAATACGCTGGCGTCTTGGAGGCCTCCGAACCCGAGGGATTATAGCTATTACCGCCGCCATACGGCGATGTGCCGCTCATATCCGGCGTAGAGACATTTGGCGATGAGGCGGAGGAGTAAATGTGCTGCGAGTACTGCGGATAGGGTGAGTTCATCTCACGCGGACTGCAGCTCTTGTCGGGACTGCTCTTGGTGGTGGTGTCCTGATAGAAGCCCACCTTGATCGCTCCATTAAGCGGGTAGGGCGACGCTGGCTTGCCCATTTCATCGTTGGGCTTTGGCGACACCATAATCGGGGAGGCACCAATCGGTGAGGCGCCTATGGGCGAGGTGTAGGAGCCCGCGGCATACGCCCCGTAACGCTCATCGATGGCTATGCGCGGCGAGTCTGGATCCTGGCTGAAGGAACTTCTCTCGGAGTTGGTGCTGCCTGTGCTGGGCTTCCTCTGACGCATCACCGTCGGCAGCGAGAAGTTATCACCCGCCGGCGAGTGCTCTGGTGGCGGCACTTTGTTCGACTCGCCAGACAAATCCCCGCCCGAACCGGTCGTCTGTTGCTTCTCCTCTTCGTCGGACTTTTTGCTCACCTTTGGACCGCCAAAAGCCTTTAGCCAGGCGCTCCAATTCGGCTTCTCTTTCTGCCCAGCTGCCTCAGCCGCCTTGCTGGATGCCTCCGTGGATCCCTTGGCCGATTTGCTCAGCTCCAGCAGCGCCTCAAAAGGCTTGGGTGGGGAATCCTTGCTCGGGGTCTTGGGGCTCACCGACGACTCATTTGATTTGCTCTCCTCGTTGGGACTGCAGTCATCCTCATCCGTTGGCTTCTTGCCCGCACCCGCCAGCTCATCGAACGTCTTACCCAGCGTAAAGTCTTGAGTTTTGATCACAGTGCCCAGACTCAGTTTCGGTGCCCCATCGGTGGTCTCTGTGGTGAGTGCATTCTTCACTTCCTTGGTCTTGGTGGCCACCTGATTGAGTGTGGTGTCTGCGCTCTCCTCTGCCTTGCCTGCGGCCACATTCTGGATGAGATTTCCCTTGGCCTTGCCCGGCTGCAGCCGCTCAATCGTTCGCATCACATTCCCCTTGGCCTTCACCTGCTGCGCCTGTGCCGTGGCCGCCTGCTTCTCCTTGAGGTTCTTCCGCTTTGCCTCCTTGGCCAGCTGCTGCTTGATGTGTGGCGGCGGTGGAGGATTCAACAGCAGCTGCGTCGTCGACGGCTCCTTGGGTTTCGGTACTGGCAGCACTGGCGGTGGCGTGGGCGTTGTAGGTGTGGGCGTCACAGCCACCGGCAGCGGTGTGGGCATCGAGGTGTTGGAGCAATTCGAACTGGAGGCAGCTGTCGCTGAGGTGCTGCCAATGGAGTTGCTCGAGTGCATCGAATGCGGCGGTGTGCCACAGCTGCTGCTCACACTGCTGGCCGTGGGCGCTGCCGATTCCGATTCGGATTTGGCTCCCTCCTTGGGCGGACCATCGGCCACCAAATCGTTCAACGCTTCGGCCAGTTTGTTGGGCACCAGCTCCACCTTGGGCGCCGCTAGGGCCACCGGTCGTCGAAAGTCCGCTGCCTCCAGCTTGCTGGCACCCAGCGCAGAGTCAAAGTCATCCAACAGATTGTAACGCGAGTTGGGGGAATTGCTGGCGGAACTAAACTCCGCCGTAAATTGTGGCGTGTGCTCCAGCCAGCGATTGATGTCCTTGAGGGTCTGCTCTGTCTCAACATCTAGAGCTTCGAGGTTCGTGGTGTTATTTGTCGTTGGTCCGCCGCCCTTTTGCACGCCCTTTTTGTTCGCACCCTTTCTGGCGCCCTTCTCGTTGGGTTTATCTGCTGGCTTTGGTGGTGGTGGCATTTCCTTGGCCGCACGCTTCTTGGCCGCTGCTTTAGCTGGTGATTCCTTCACTTTGGAACTCGCTGCAGCAGCAGCTGGAGTGGCAACAAAAGCTGTAGACGCTGCAGCTGCAACCGTGCTGCTGCTGCAGGCGGGAGGCTCCTTTGTTGCCTCCGATTTGGTCGCCGTGGCTGTCGCTTTGGGTGGAGCTGCTGCCTTTGTAGCTGCCGCCTTTGGGGGCGACGCTTTTGCTGTCGATGCCTTGGAGGTTGAAGGCTTTACGGCGGCTGTCGTTAACGCTTTGGCCGGTGCTGGTGGTGACTTTTCTTTGGGTGCCGGTTTCTCCGCTGTGCTTTTTGGTATCTCTGCTTTCTTTGACTTTTCCCCATGCTTCTCCGTCTCAACCGCCTTGTTGGCTGGCTTTGACGAGCTCTTCTCTAATTTCTCGGTTTTCTCCAGCTTCTCGGCATCCTTGGCACGCTTCTGCTCTTTGCTCTTGCGACCACGCTTGTGCTCCACTGGCGCTTCTGGTGACTTTTCACGCTTGGAGGCGGCCTTCTTGCTCTCGCGACTGCCCTTGGTGCTGGCCGATTTGGAGTCCTCGCTGGGCGCAATCGAATTGGAGGCGGAAGAGCCACTTTGTGCCGCGCGACTGCGTCGATACTTGATCACATCGTACTTGTCCATGAAGGGCAGAAGCATCTCCAATTCCGCTTGCTCTGCAGCGGCAGCAGCCGCAGCGGCCGACTCTTCTTTGCTTATTTTGCTCTTGTGTTTCCCACTGCGTCCTTTATCTTTATCTTTCTCCTTATCCTTGCCCTTCTTATCCTTTTCCTTGTCCTTTTTGGCTGGAGAACTGCTCTCTCCCGCTGCCTTCTTCCCTTTCTTAGTGGTGGCCACCGGTGAAGGGCGAAGTTCTGTGGAGCTCGAACGACTTCTACTCAAGGACACTCGTCGTGGTTGGCTCCGCTGCTGCTGCTGCTGCTGCTCCTCCTCATGCTCGTCCTCGTGCTTGGCACTGAGTTTCGTGGTCTCTGCGGTAGGTACTTTTTTCACCGTCGTCAGCAGCTCGGAGAGATCATCGTTAAGGGCACTTTTCGAGTATTTTTTATGGAGATCAACCTTAAAGGGTGACATGCTGCGCGATCTCGATCCATCCTCATCAGCCTCGTCATCGTCATCATCATCGTCCTCATCCTCATCCTCATCCTCCTCCAACTCTGCGGCCGACTCCGCGAGCGCTGCGGCTGCTGTGGGTGGCAGCAGTTGCTTCTTTGCATTCACATCCGAATGATCGCTGTCCAAATCCGTCCCGTCCTCCTCCTTAGCCGTAGACTTTCTGCCACCCTTCTTGCCCTTTAGCTGACGCTTTCCCGGCGTTGGTGTCTTCACCTTGGACTCGGCCGGCACAGATTTATTTTTTTGTGCGGCTATCGTGCGTGCGGAGGGCTTCATCAGGGACTTGGCCTTGGCCAGGGCCAACTGCTCGTCATCGCTGGAGTCCTCGTCCTCGTCCTCGCGTGGATCACTTAGGTCCGACTCCGTTTCGGGTGCCGACTTTTTGCCACCCTTTTTGGTCTTTTGCTGTGTCTTGCCGCCCGACTTTGCTGCGGTCTTTTCGCCTTTGCCCTTTCGTCCGCGCTTGACGGCAGCTGAATACTCCTTTTCCTTTTCCTTGTCCTTTTCTTTGTCCTTTTCCTTCACCTTTTCTTTGATTACTTTGCCAGCTTTGCTCTTTTTGGTTGTGGCTGGAGGTGGTGCTGGTGGCGGCAGCTGCGGCGGTGGCGGCGTTGCTTCTCTTTCGGGCTCAAACTCCTCTTCGTCCGTGTCCAGATCCTCCAGATGGCCACCGCTGCGATCTGACTTGGTTTTGGTCTTCTTTTTGCGCCGCTTATCCTTCTCCTTGCGCTTGCGCTTTTGGGCCCGCTGTGCAGTGGCCGCCGCTGCAGTCTCCGACAATGGTTCTTCCATGGCGCTGGGCGGCTGCTCCTCCTCGGCGCTGCTGTCCGCATGCAAAGCATTACCAGCCGCATCCTTGCCCTCCTCCTCCTTGGCCTTCTTGCTGAAGTACTTTTCGCGGAAAACATTCATCTTGGAATCGGCAGCGGGATAGCTTAGATTTGGGTCATCATCCTCATCGTCCGACAGATTATCAAAGTACTTTTTGGTGGCCTTCTCAAAGGCATCCTGCAGATTGTTCACCATTTCCGTGTATTCTAAAAGGTAGAAATATAATTATTAAAGGAAAATAAAGGATATTTCATCGAGGGACTGATATCTACCATTATTGTGACCATTGTACAGGCGACAATTGTTAACAATCAAGCGAAAATCATTACGAAATTCACCAAATTTGTGATACTCTCCGCTGTCCAGTTTATCCTCCATTTTCAACAGATCCATTGGTCTGCAAACAAAGTATTTAAAGCGATCTCAAAACAGATATATCAAATGATTTACTCACCTCCTAATAATGGAGTAATACCGCGGTGCAATGTCCTCCTCGACGGGATCCATAAATGGCCATGCATCCCGATGATTCTTCACGTAGACGAGCACCTTGTGCATTCCAATTTGTAGCACTTCCTCCGTTTCGGTGAAGCTAAGAATATTCGCATGATTGGAGGAGTTGTACGTTGAGTTGATGTTTGATTTTGTTGTTGTTGTTGTGTGGTTTGTAATTGAGGAGAATGGATGTATTGTTAGGGTGTGATGGCTGTGATGGTGGTGTTGGTGGTGCGTCTTGGATTTGTGTTTATTACTATGATTAGTGGTTGTCTGATGGTACGGGGGGTACTGATAGTGGGATGTAACAGAGGTGGTTGTGTTTGTATTTTTGTTTGTGTGATTGTTATTTTGGTGGTTATTATGGGTTCCATACGATGATCCTACTCCTATGCCTCCTCCTGCTGTAGCCGTCGTGTGATTATTATTATTCTTTCCATTATGATTGTGGTGCTGCTTATGATTGTTGTTGTTGTTAAGGCTGCTGCTATTGTTGTTGTTGTTGGTGGTGGTGGTTGTGGTGGCTGTGATGGTGGTTTTGGTGGTGCTACGCTTGCTACTATTTACATGGCTACATTTATCGTACATTTTTTGTGATGAACAGTCGGAATGTAGTTGTTGTTGGTTGGTTGGTTGTTGGTGGTTCAGTGGTTGAGGTAGGTACAAAAGTTTACAACAAACGAATGATAAATATATGTTAATCAATTGATATCACATTATATACAATTTGATGGGTGAGTATTTTATTACATGATGAAAGGATTACCAAAACATTGAAAAAATAAAACATGCAAGCGATTTTAGGCCCAAAGTTCCATTGGCTGAACACTCCCATAAGCGAAAGGATACATTTGCAATTCAATTTCCTTTCGGTTGTACTAATTGCTATACAAATGTTCCATAGATGAAAGGATACACGGAAAATTGCCATTCCAATGTACAGTTTGCTCCACAAGTCTGCTAATGGAACTAAATAAAAACTAAATACATAAAAAGTTTACAATCCATAACCAAAATGAAACACAGTTAATAACAAAAGCAGCGGAATTATGGAGCTGGGCGAAGAGACCCCACATAATCCTTATTTCTAGCATTTAGTAACAGCATGAAGCTTGGATTAAATGATATATGGCTTAGGCTCTAAATATTAGTAGGATCTTTGTGTGGTGGGGCGTATGGTGGGGACTCCACTCCACTCCACTGCGTGGTTTGCGCATCACTTACTCATCGCCACTCTTGTCCGAGAAGGCACCACTGTGCCGCTCCGCCTTGCTGGACGATGATGAGGCCGATGAAGGTGTTGACTTCTTGCTCTTGTTGCCCGTCGTCGTCGTCGTCGTCGTCGTCGTCTCTTTGTCCGTCGAGCTATTATTTAGCACATCCTTTTGCTTCTTCGAGCGCACAGTGCTGGCAGATCCCGAGGCGCCGGATATGCTGCTGTTGCTACTGCTGCTCTGCGATTGCTGTTGCTGTGGCTGCTGCGATTGCGTCTGCTGCGGCTGTTGTTGTTGTGTGCTAGTGCTGCCTGGTATGAAAATGTTGCCAGTCAGCGAACTGAGCGAATTGTTGGTTTGCCGGCCTGGCAGCTTTACATTCGCCGCCGGCGCCATTTGCCGTTGCGCGCGCTTTGCGGCGGCCGTCGTCTGTCGTGGTCGAGCTGGGGACTCTGCTGGTTGCTGCTGCTGCGGTTGCGCCTCCTGCTGCTCCACGTCGCTCTCATGTGCCACTGGCGAGGGTATGCTCAGGTCTGCGATGCTTGTGGCCACGGCAATCGCCGCCGAATTCGAGTCCAAGAGCTGAAGCTGCCGACAAAAGTTCTCCTTGTCCTCGGGACTCAGAGATGTTGCATGCGGTAGCTCCTCTGAAGCGTCTGTGCGCTGTTCCCTCTGCTGTTGCTGCTGCTGCTGACGACGACGTCGCTTATGCGGCCCACTGTTGCTGCTGCTGCTGTTCTCGCTTTGCTGATGATGCTGTTGCAGCTGCTGGTTGTTGTTGTCGTCTTCTTGATCTGCCTCTGGCTCTGAGGCATGCTTGTGACGCCTCCGATGGTGTCGATGCTCACGCGAACGCTTCTTCTGCTTCTTGCCCGACTTTTTCTTCTTGTGGTGATGATGATGATGATGGTGCTGATGACGATGATGGCTCTTGCTCTTTGATTCCGCTGGCGTTTGCGATTCTGACGGTGGCGGTGTTTGAGGCGTACGAAAATCGGTGTCTGCTGTTGCTACTGCCGCTACTGATGCTGAGGCAGCAATTAATTGAGTCTCTTGCTCTTGCTGTTCTGTCGGCGACGATGACTGTTCCGCTTCGTTTGTTTTGGCGTCGTCTTCGTCCTCCTCCTCGGTATCAGTGTCCTCGTCACTTTCTGGCGATAGGCAGAAGGTTTCCCTGTGGCACAGAAATTCGCTCGAATTAGTGGTTGTGGTACGTCGGAAGGAGCTTGCGTATGTGGAAATACCGCTGGCAGTCGATGTTGATTGAGAGCTAAATGGGGGAGAGCAGAAAACAAAAAAAATCAGTATTTAGTTGCAGTTTAGGAAGAGTTTCGAATCTATGATTATGGATTATGGCATAATGGCGTTATGGTGTTTCAAAAAATGTGTCTAAAACTTAACTTAAATCATAATTAGATCAAAAAGCATGCTTACAGAGTGTATTTTGAAAAGGAATTCCAATTAATTCTCCCATATACAAAACTAAATGATGGGCAAAACTCAAATTAAGTGATGATCCTTGCTCTGGACATCCTCTTCTGCGGGCTTTGTCTTCCGTTGGCTGGCTAGCTAGCGTCGATGTGAATGATTTTGTATGAGTCTGATTGCAAAACGTATAATTTTTCGTAACCAAATCAAAATTAAAGGCAACTCAACGATCAATTAACGAAATCAAAGATGAGTGAGTTATGTTTTTGGATGTTTCTGTTTTTGTTTTCTGTTTCTGGTGTGTGTCCTCCTGCAAGGCTGCTTCTGTTTCTTATAATATTGGGCGCTCTAACCGTCTACGTGTGCGCTGGTTCTGGTTCTGGGCTGACGGTGCCACCCACTGTGCGCTCTGCCGCTCTCTGTACTCTCGCTCTCTCTGCTCGCGCTCGTTTCGCTGGCGTTCCCTTTCGAGCTCGCGCTCCCGCTCCAGACGCTCCTCCTCCTGGCGAGCTTTCAGCTCAGCAATGCTGCGAATGCGACTCGAATTTCGCACTTGTAAGAGTCTGCCAATAAAAGAAAAGATTTAGAGTAAATTTCCTCCTAGAAATAGCTCAATTTTGGCACTCACTTTCTTCTCCTTAGACGTTCACGCTCGCGGAAAAGCTGCGGCAGCTTGGGCAGAAAGTTCTTGTTGAGTATTTGGAAGAGGTCACGCTCTTTGGCATTCTTTGAGGTCTTGAATTTGGCCGCCAAGTTCTGCCAGTCCTCCTCAGTGAAGCAGATGACCTGCCACACGGTGTTGCAGTTGCTGCCTGCACCGCCAGCCGATGCTGCGGCGGCCCCGCCAACGGCCTTATCCTCGCGATACAAACGAGTGCCGTAGAAATACCAATAACCGGAATTTTTAGAGTCGTGGCCGAGTGGCTCTACGCGCAGGCTGTCCGCCTCTAGATTGCTGAGTATGACCTGCACATCGGCAGATTCCAGGCGAAAGTGACACAGATCGTGCAGAATGTGTAGGCGCTTGCGCGGTGGCAGCGATTGAAAGTCAATGTCCGTGTCGAAGGGATTCTCTGTTTGATGCAGACGACACTGTTGGCGCAACAGGCGGCGCAAGAACATCTGATAGTTGCTGTGTGTGATCTCCTTCGCTACCGATTGGAGCGCATCGCAGCCCTTGAGGAGGCGCACAATCAATTCGGGCACTAGGGCAACCTGATCCTCATCGCTGGTACCATCGGAGAGCAGCGCCGACTCGAGGTCCTAAATAAATAAATTAAAATATCGTATTAAGTCTATGGCATAATGAGATATGCATATCCAAGCACTTACCTCGATGTCTATATCGGGTAATTCGAAGGCGGAACTAAACAATGAACAGAAATGCGAAATACACGGTATCTCCCACCATGATTGAATGTCTGCAGAAAAAATAAACAACTGTTATCGTATATGTGTGTATGTATGCATCATCTGTGATACTCACCCAATAGGCCAATGAAAGTAGAAACCATTTATATATGCTTGCTTATTAGAAACGTTGCTTCACTGCGAGATGTTTAAATAACATAAATAAATCCCTCGAGGGCCTCCAATACGAAGCTCTTTGGTTACTCGATTCGGGCAGGCTATGGATTTGTTAACCGGGAATGGATAACAAGAAAAAACAAACGTATCGATGCGTTAACAAATTAGTTTCAGGTTGCAGCAAAGGAGAAAGAGCTACGAAACAGAAAAGAAAACTTCGAGTGTCGATGAGTTGATACCCTACAGAGAGATTGCTTGATATGTTAGCTTTACTTTACGGCCATTGATTTTTAAAAACTTGTATGCAAACATTTCCAATCGACTTTCCATTCAACTGTTACTATACCGAGCCACAGATACTAAATATTTCCTTATTCTACTTTTGTGTCAATACAACCTCAGCATACTCTCTCTGCATAGGGTATGCATAGACATAAATGTGTGCAACATGTGTGTGCGTGCGCCGTTGTTTGCTGCGGCGCCTGCTGCTGTTGTTACAGTTACAAGATATATGCACAAACATCTGGCTTTATCACTTATCATGCATTGCGATACAGGCAAACACACACGCGAATCCACGCACACTCGCGAAATATGGGAGAGCGGGCGGGTGGTAGGTCAAAAGAAAGTACACGAGCACCCCTTTCGCGCGCTTATTTTCACGAAGAGAAAATCAAAACAGACAGCCAACAAGCGACGATTGCGTAGGCCAGAGTGGGACGGCGAGTGTGCTGCACTCGAATAGCGGCGCCGCTCACTTTTTCACGTTCGTATGCCGTCTCTCTTCCTATCGTCACTATTCCGCCTGCTGTTCATCCTGCCTGCTGCCTGCACTCTTTTTATTTTAATTAATATGTAATTTACATGGCTGCACGCAGTTTTAAAGGCTGTTAATTTCAGGAAGCTCTCGGGCGTCTTAGCCGCTGTATTGGGGTATGCGAGGAGGGATTTCCAACTTCGATTCGTTTTCCGGAGCATGCGCGCGGGGTACGACGACGGCGCCTGGTGCGCCTTTTTCTGCGTTTTGCTTGCTGGCCAGTGTGTATTTATTTTTATTAATACATGTATATATATTTTTCACAAACGCTGCAGGTTACGTGCGAAAATGTCATTTAACTTTAGAGACGCCCAATCGCTGCCACTGCCGCTCCTCTCGCTCTCTGTTCCCTCTGCCGAATTCCTCCAATTTCTTTTTTCAAGCACACACACTCGCACGCACAGCACACACAGGCCAAGAGAGGTGCTCCATCTGCATTAAATTATTAATTATTTGCCCAACAACAGCTGCAGCTGCACACACACGTCTCACACACACACAAGCACGCACTGGAACTGTAAAGTAGTTTTGCTAACATTTTTTCAATCCCGTTGATTCGATTTGCAGTAGGCCAAAGGCGGCGCAGATAATTTCTATTTTCCTCTTTTGCGCTACAACTGCTGCCTGCTTTCTTCTTCTTCTTGCTGGAGGCGTAGAGCTGCGAACTTATCGACTGCTTTCCGATAGTATCGTTTGCATAGAGATGTCCAACTCAATTATAAACAGAATATTACAAAATATTACATCTCTGCATTATGTAAACGTGAGATAAATCTGATTTAAAATTAAATTTACAAGTCTTGTGAAAATAAAGAGTGAAATTAAAAGTGTCCTGCAGTCAATTCCAATTCTTGAACACTCCATTTCAACATTCAATATTTCAACCTTTTTCCGTTTAATCATCTCTAATCGATACATCGATATGCATATCTCCAATTTCCTTTTCGCTTGCCATTCCATTCTCCCTCACTCACTTCTTCGCTTCCTCTTTTCCCGAAATTCACCCTCTTACCATCCCTCCTCCTCTACAACCAGCTGTGAATATAACCTTACTTTTCAGCCTGTTCAGCTACATGGCATCATGTATCATCGTGTGTCTGTGTGCGTGTGTGCAGGCACATCCATGTGGGTCGACGTGCATTGGTGTGTGTACGCGTGCCATGTAGCTTGCCATGTATTCTAGAGTAACTACATGGTAAGTATCGCGGGGCGCGGTAAAGGGCCGTCAATTACTCAACAATCAAATAAACTCCAGCAACACAAATGACCAATCGTAGTTCGATTGCAGCTGAAACTCCAGCAACTGCTGAAGATCGGCAATGGGGCCAAATTTGTCACTAATTTAATCAGATCCACCGCCCTGCCTCGGGGAGTCTCACCATGTACCATGCACCATGTATATCCCTCGGCCTACATGACGGTTCTAGTCTACATGGCAGGCCGCCGCCACGAAACTGGTTTGGGCAAGGGCGGTGCGAGTGTGCGGGTGGCGGTGTGTACGACGCGTGTCATGTCGGTGGATGTGGATGCATTAGAAAGCCTCCCCTGCCTGCTGCCAGACGTGTAACTCAACGAACGAATGACAGACAAATATTGCTGGTGTATTTTATACATACGAATGTAGTCTTTATTTTAACGATTTTGCATTTTTTCTTTCATTCAGTGCCGACAGTAATATTGATACAAATTATGCTGGTAAGAGAATTACAATAGATGTTTTATGATTCTTAATATTTATTTACATATTGTGGTGCTGCTGTGAGTGCTGCTGCAGCTGTGGCAACATCAGCCGCATTATTCGTGGCGGGGCGGGCGGCAGGTCGATGCGTTGCACATCTTCCCTATGCTAAGGCTCGATCTTGCGTATCTTAAGGCTGCCGCTGCTGGCACGTTGCGCCAGGTTTGCCCCAGCTCCGCCAAGCGCGCCACTCGCCGTCGTTGTGCTAACTAGCTGTGGCAACTGGAAGTTCCCATTGTGAATTTCTCCAATGCCATTGCTCGTCAGCGTGGTGCCCAGACCGTTCTGCATGGGACGCTTCAGCACGAACCTCTTGGTCTTGGCGGCCGTTGCCATTGTCGCACCACTACTGTTCACGGTCGCTGCGGTGCTGCTAACGACCACTGCCGTGGTGGTTTTGCCCACAGGCAGATCATCGCCCACGGGATCTACCTCCATTTCACTCACGGTATTGTTTTCGTCATGCTAATGGGGCGGTAGAAATGGTAATAGATTAGAATAATTCCAACATTTTGATGTAATTTTTTGTGCTTACACTCTCGCTATTGAGCTCCTCATCCTCGTGTCCCTCCTCCTCCTCGAATTCGGCACTCTCCGTATCCTCGGGATACTCCACCAGCTGACCGTTGAGGGTGGGGAACTCGATGACCGGCAGGACCTGGCGCTGTGTTTGGCTGCTCTCGTCCATCAGCTTCTGGATGAGATTGGCAATATCCTCGCGCTTCTTGGTGACTGTGAGAAAGTCGAACCAGTTCGTCAGCTGCTTGATGGGCAGTCTGTAGTCTCTGATGGGCTCCGTAAAGAACTGCTCCACGTACTGCAGCAGATAGAGGCCGCAGTCGGTGAAGTTGTTCTGCTGCGGCACTTTGACGCAGTGTCCGGGCATGTTATCCTTGTTGAAGACGTGCGCCTGCGCATCCGGCTTCTTGATCCTGTACTCGCAGGTGAGGTAATCCCGCAGCGTGGCCACCACACGACTGCGCGATGCACCGGCCAACGAGTCAAAGATGAGGATCAGGGGCTGCTTCACCGCCGGCACCTCCTCCGCACCGCAAATCCGCGCTGGGCCACTGCTAATTTGTGGCGTGGGTGTGGCTGCCGCTGTTTCCTTGGCGGCCGTTGGCTCCTTGCCCGAATTCGAGTTGTCACTGTCCTCGGAGGCCATGTCGCTGTCATCGCCCTCCGCCTCATCTCGCTCACTCTCCCCGTCGTCGCCTAGCCGGCAGATCTCCGAGTTGAGTGCCGCCGGCAGGGCTCCTCCCTCGCCCCTCTTCGTCAGCGGTGTGATGGTGGTGTTGCCAATCTGCAGGGGCCCCTTCTTTCCGCGTGCACGCTTCAGATGCTGCGGCTCCACGGGCTGATTGGTGTCATAGGTGACGGGACCCTTGAGGTTCGGGAAACAGATGATGGCAAGGAACCAATGCGACTGCTCGTTGATGGGCACAATGATGAAGTCCTTGTCGAATATGTCCACCACTTTCGTCCACTTCTGGACCCTGGCATGCCGCTTCTGTGCAGCTGTTTGCCGCATGTCGGTGGGACGCGTCAGAGTAGTCAGTCGCTTATAAAAGAATGTGCTAAACACATGCGTACGCTCTCGTGTTGCCTCCGGTATCAGTGTGTTGCGCAGCCACAACAGGTAAAAGTCAATGATGATGTCGTTCAGATACGACTCCTTCGTGAGGCACACAAAGTCCTCCATGCGGATGCAAAGGCTGCCCGTGCCCGTGGGAGGATACATCAGCAGGCTTACCTGCTCATCGACACGCAACTGCCGCACTACAGGCTGTGTGGACTTGTCCAAAGCCTTGCGATCAGAGTCGGCAATTCGATCTAATATATCGGCCGCATCTATCGCCGAGATCTCGTCCACGCAGCTAAACATTGTCTTGATGGTCTCACGGCCGCTGTGAGAGATGCTATCGAACAGCAGAACGAGGCGTCGTGCGTGGATAGAGGTTTGTGACTTGAAGCCAGTCTCTGCGGGAGGGGAAAGCATTTAACTATAGCAGGAATTCAAATCGGGAAAGGGCGCAAGCTGCAACTTACGTTCATTTGGTTGATCATCGGGTAGACAAAGTTGCGCTTTCACATACAGTGCGCATGTCTTGAGCAAGTAGAGCGTAAGGAGTGTCTGTGGCTGGTCAACACTGCCGAAATGTGCAATAACCTTGATCACCTCGTGCTTGTAGATGTTTAGGGTGAACTTTTCGTCCATGTCGTGCAATATGCCATTTATACGTATGCCCTTCGAGGTGAAGGTGACCTGGAAAAACAAAAAAAAAAGAAAGCAATATAAGCACACATAGCAGGTAGTGTGAGAGGCAGGGGGGGGGACATACCGGCTCAATTGTGTCGAAACGATAGGGCATCAGACGCACACAGCTGCATGTGATCGGTGTGGAGAATTGCTCGTTAGCCGGCACATCCGTCAAGTCCATAACATCGCCGCGCACAAAATCTGCAAGCGAAAAATGTTAATTTTGCATTTATTTATTGCTCTCCCTTCACATGTGCTGCTGCTATCGCAAAGCCACATTTTTTTTTTCATTTTATGCACTGCGCACACGTTTTCCCACAATTTGGTGTAATTACCTTCGTCATTCATGTTTGTGGGGGTTGCGCAGAGTGCGGCTTGTCTATAACTTAGTTGTTTAAAGTAAAATCAGTTTGAAACTAACACGATTTCACAAAAATTCCAATATAACTATGGAGAACGAGCTGTTTTCACGCATTCGCTTCTTCTTTCTCATACTCTTTTTCTTCACGCAACCAACACAGAAAATGGCGTGACGCTCTGCGCAGCGACCCCTGGCGGTACATAACAGAACTAAAAATAGTGCGATGGCATTGCCAGGCACGAAATTTCGATACACACACACACACACACACACACACACACACTGCATAAACAAAAACAACAAACATTGCTTTGCATGTACATACACCAGCACCAGAAAATGCGCCGCCAATCCTAATTATTTGCTTGTAAAACCATTCTATTAGGGTCATACCTCTGTACAGCGGTTCTTCGTCCACCTCGGGCAGCACGGGCTCACAGGCAAAGGCCACGGCGGGCAGAGGAACTTTTCCATTCATGAAATGGCTGTAGTGGCTCGAGTGCATTGATGGAAGCTGCAAAATAAGATACAAGCGAGGGTTATTGTAGGAAAATCCAAAATAAAAGTAGCTAAGACTTACACTAACACTGCCATCGGCAGTGGAATCATCTGGTTCGGCCTCATCCTCACTGCTCAGCAGCACCACAGGATCCACCTCGGGCGCTCGTCTACCGCCACGAGCTCGTCCCCGCATTGAGGCCATGCCACCGCGTCCTCTGGCTCCCGTGGCAAAGGTGACGCCACCCATTTGTTTGTTGTAGCGTGAAGCTGCTGCCAGCTCCCGCTTCTCCGCGGGCGTTGCCGTCTCGCTGGAGGTGGATGATGCCGGTGAGGAGGTGGCATTCGACTTGGGCAGGTAGGACTTGCGCTTCGGTGGCTCCAGGAAGACTCGCTTGCAGCGCTCGCACTTGGCATGATCCATGCCAGTGAAGCCGCACTGCTTGCACACCGCATAGTAACCGTCGATGAGCTTGCGTCCTTCGGTGGCCACCGACACGACACCTGCGCCCGTGGCCGTGCCGTTAGTAATGCCTCCATTTGGTGCCGCTGAACTGGCTGCCTCTCGCTTGGCCTGCTCTGCCGCTGCATTCGCCTGAGTGTACGCCGGCGATGGTGTTGTGGTTGTGGGCGCAGATTGTGCAGGCGCTGCACTGGCGGCGGCATTCTCCTGCTGGCGATTCATTTGGAGACTCTCCTCCGCACGGGAGATCAGTTCGCTGGCAGATTCATTGACGGAAAAGCCCACAGTTACCACAAAATCCACATTGGCACCACGATGCTCGACGCACTGGATCGTTGTGGTGTTGTCGAACGGCACGCAGACCTGCTCCAGCAGATCCTGCACCGTGCACGACTCCCGCGGCAGCGTGAAGGTGATCAATCGCTGCTCGCCCGATGCGAGTATCACCAGCATCTTGGCGCTGTTACGATCCCTCTCTGGTATCGCCTGACCCGCACGATTGTTGAGCACATGCTGCGAGTGGATCTCGTAATTGTTGTGCGACGTCTGCTGCACGGATGAGCCGGACTGCGAGGAGGATTGCGAATCGCCAGCATCCACGACGGAGGCAGATGGCGGTGCAATTGCTGGTGCGGGTGGTGTGGGCGTCGGGGCAACTGCTGGCGTTGCTGCAGGTGGTGCAATTGCTCTTTGTGGCTGCATAATGCGTGTGCCAATCGGCAGCACTCCGCCCGTGGGCGTCTGTGTGGCTATCAGCTTTGGCGCAGCACGCACCAGAGTTCCCGGTGTCATGGGCCGCAGGGGCGTCAAGCTTCCGCTTGTCGCCACGGACGTGGGCACAGCCGTGGACACTGTCATCGTTTGGCGCTTCTTAAACTCTGCCAGCGACATGCTCGCTCCACTCGCCGTGCGCACTGCTTGGACCTGCTGTTGCAATTGTTGCTGTTGCAACTGCTGTTGATGCTGCTGTTGTTGCTGCAACTGTTGTTGCTGTTGCTGCTGCTCCTCTTCGGTGTTGGCCTGTGCCGTGTTGCTGCTTGGATAGTAAGTCGTCAGGCTAGTGCCCTGTGCCAGCTGTATGGGCATTTGATTGGCGGTAGGCTTTTGTTGCTCCTTTTTCAGCACCGCCGCTTGGATGCGCTCCTCCATGTCTATGCCCATGCTGCTGGTGGTTGATGCCGCGGGCGTGGCTGTCACAGCGGCTGGCACGGGCGTTGCCACAGCCGTGGTGAGGGAGACGGGCGCTCGATAACGCATCGGCGACTGTCGCATCATCAGCATCTGTTGATGTTGCTGCTGTTGCGGATGCTGCGGCTGACTGCCGTCGGTGATCATGTGAGTGCGATACACTTGCCGCTGCTGCAGCTGTTGGCCGGGCACCGTCTGCTGGCCGAGATTCGCGCTGATGGTTATATGCTTTGTCATCTGCGTTTGTGTCACAATTTGCATCGTTTGGCTTCCCTCCGGGGAGCTGGTTTGCACCACCAACTGGGCACGTGGACGTACTCCCGGCGGACGCATGTTCCTCACAATGCCACCTTGGACGGTGCCGGCAGCTCCTCGGGGTCGCACGTGGCGCACAATTGTCGTAGGACTGAGCGTGGGTCGTACCCCGCCACTTGTGGCAATCATTGTGCGCGTGAGTACGGCTCCTCCTCTTGCATTCTTCCCACGAAACGCGGCCCGCACGAGCGTTCCTCCCCCCTGAGATGTGGCCACCAGTTGGGGCTGCTGTGTGTGCACCACTTGCTGCTGCTGCTGTTGAGTCTGTTGCTGCTGTGGCACCTTCTGCACCTGCAGCTGCTGGTAGACCACGTTTTGGGTTTGCTGCGGCACCACACGCGTCTGCACGAGGTGTGCCGTCTGTGCTGTGGCCTGGAGTTGCATTTGCTGCTGCTGCTGTTGTTGCTGCTGCTGTTGCACGTGCTGCTGTAGGGCATGCTGCTGCTGTGGCGATGTGGTATAAACCACGCGATTGCTGTACGGATGAATGGCCGTGGCCTGGCGCATGATGAGCTCCTGATGCTGCTGAGCCTGGATAAGCACCGGCTGCTGCTGCACGATGACATGCATGTTGTTCTGTATGAAAAGATTGTTAAATGAGTTAAATAAAGTATTAAATAAAAGACTATAACTATTATAAAACCTAAATATCATGCATTAAACTCTGAATTTATAGTCTATAACTTTATTCTTACAGTTAGCGGTCGTTGTTGCTGCTGTGTGGTGGTCATGCGGTACACAACTTGCGGCTGCTGCTGCTGTTGCTGCTGCTGCTGGGCGGGCGATGTCTGCAGATGCAATGTTTGGCCCTGCTGTTGTGTCTGCTGATGCTGTTGCTGCTGCTGGGGACTCTGCAGCAATTGTTGCTGCTGCTGCCCGCTTGTTTGCACCAATTGCGCCGTTTGCTGCTGATAGGCGGGCGCATGATATTGTTGCTGCTGCTGTTGTTGCTGGAGCACTTGCTGTTGCTGTTTCTTCTGTTGCTGCTGCTGCTGCAATTGCTGCATGGATGCATGCTGCACAATGGTGTTTGGCTGTAGAACCTGCTCGGAGGTGTAATAAATCTGCTGAGTATGCTGTATGGCGGGCTGTTGCTGCTGATGTTGCACATATTGCTGCTGCTGCTGCTCCAAGTGGATTTGTTGCTGCTGCTGCTGTGCCTCCTGCTGCTGATAATGCACTTGCTGCACTTGGTGCTGCTGATGATGCATCACGACTTGCTGCTGCTGCTGTTGCTGGTGTTGTTGTTGCTGCTGCTGCTGCTGCTGTTGTTGCTGGGCGAGATCTTCTCCTCCGATTATGTAGTGGGCAGGAGCTGTGGTCTGTTGGGGCTGCTGGTATTGGGCCGGCGCTGTGGTTTGATACACCACTTGCTGCTGGTCGTTGAACACCAATTGCTGGTCATCCTGGAGCACCAGAGACTGCGACATAAATGGCATTTCCAGTTTAGATTCCCATCAAGATTTCCGATTGCACACTCAAATACTCACCCCAACCTCCTCTTGGGGCACTTGCACCACCTGCAAATCTGAGTAGACGGGCTCCTCTAACGGCACTAGATACTGCTCCATTTTGTGGTGGGGTCTGTGGTGCACTGGGAGAGAGTACAAAGAGCGGAGAGTACACACAATATTTTAATGATGGTCTCCGCTACAAGATGGCCTTCCACACACACACAAACACATGGCGAGCGCTCAGCACACGGAAAACACTCTTTTACCCCACATCAATTATCCGGGATAATGGTTGACACTGCTCCGTTAACAAGCAAAGCGTTTATTCCACGTTTATTATACAATTTCTGTGACATTTCTTCAGACCATTTTTTTATGCGTTCCACACACATGCACAAACACACACAAACACACACCTTCTGCTGGGTTTGCTGGGAGTTTGGATACGTCCGACGTTGCTTTGCTGGACTCCACTCGTGAATCACTTTAGTTGTGCTAAATCATCTTCGCGAGAGTTTTCACACATTTGGACAAGTGATTGGCAAGCCTGGGCTAGCGTTTTCGGTTGAAAATTTTAATTTCTTGTAATATAATGCAAGCAGTCGAATCAAATATGGCGTTCCACAGGGCAGCATTTCAATTTGATTTTTCTGGCAATGCCCACGCGCAGTTGTTGCGCCCTCTGGCGGCTTCGCGGAGTTTCGCAGCTGTTTATAAACATTTTGCAGCGTTGCGTTTTGCTACACTCGTTTATCGATGTCTGTCTTTTCGCCGCTTTCGTCTAATGTTTAGTGGTACCACTCTTTCGCATGTAGCCATATTATTGGGACCACTAAATATTCGAGGCATTGGAGTTGCACTAATATTCACTGATTTATGCATTGAAGCCCGCGTTTCACTGTTTGATATCATTTTATTGGCCATTATCAGCTTGATAAGCTGCACTTTGTCGAACACGATTTTTTGGCAATTGATATCGCGATTTAAGGGCCGTTTGTGCTAACGGACAGCGCGCTCTTGCAGATTGGTTGAAAGAAGAAGAGGAGAATCCAACAACAACAGAATACGTTAGAGACGTGAGAACAGCGATAGACCAAACCGATAGCAACGGCTAATGGAAATCGTTAGTGAAAAATTTAAGTTTCGGTGATAAATAGGGCAAATAGAGGAATTAAACCAATGTTTTTTGGCTGATTTTTGTTGTCTTCAGAGGTTAATATACATGTTCGGTTACTACATGAGCAAAAGTGTATTTTAAAATTTATCGAACTTATTCTGGATTTCGACTACTCTCATCGCTAATGTCAAACAATTTTATTATAATTTCATCATGTCCAAAATATTCACGCCCACAAATCAAATTCGACTCACAAATGTAGCCATTGTGAGGCTAAAGAAGGGTGGCAAGCGCTTCGAGATTGCCTGCTACAAGAACAAAGTTCTGTCCTGGCGCAGCAACAGGTGACAACTGCGCAAATGCCACCGCACGGGAACACGTTCCTTGACTTCTTTTTCTATTCTTGCAGCGAAAAGGACATCGATGAGGTGCTGCAAACTCACACTGTTTTCACAAACGTGTCCAAGGGCCAGGCGGCCAAGAAGGATGAGCTGCAGAAGGCCTTCAACAAGACAGATGAAACCGAAATCTGCAAAGAGATTCTGAGCAAGGGCGAGCTACAGGTCTCGGAGAAGGAGCGCCAGAGTGTGCTGGACACGCAGTTAAGCAGCATCATCAACAGTGTCGCTGCGCTCTGTGTCAATCCCGAGACGCGTCGCCCCTACTCGGCCTCGATCATTGAAAAGTCCCTCAAGGATGCGCATTTTTCGGTGAAGATGAACAAAAACACGAAGCAGAACACGCTGGAGGCCATCAAAATGCTGCGCGAGCATCTGCCCATCGAGCGTTCACGCATGAAGCTGCGTGTTAGCTTTGCGGGCAAGGAAGGGGGCGGCAAGCTCAAGGAATCCGTCGTCAAGCTGGCCAACGCCGTGGAGCATGAGGAATGGGAGGAGTCTACTCTGCATTTGACGCTGCTGATCGATCCAGGGCAGTATCGCGTTATCGATGAACTCGTGCGCAACGAAACCAAGGGCAAGGGTCTGCTGGAGCTGCTCGAACTCAAAGAGGTCGTGGAGAATGAGGAGGTCTTCTAGGTGTGGACATTTATACGTGATTATTTATGTGAAACAGAGTACAGGTTGGAAGAGATAATATAACAAATTTCATTTACGCTTCTTGAGATTCTCAAAGCGACGCGACAACTCATCAAAATCGATCTCATCTTCGTCCTCCTTCTTGTCAGCAGGGCCTGGGGGAATGTCTGGCAGATCCAAGGGTACATTGGGCAGCGATGGAAGGTCCAAGGCAGGCGGTGCACTGGGTAGCGTTGGACCACCAGGTGGCAGCTTTGAGCGCGGTTGTGGTTTCGGTTTGTTGGCATTCTGTGAATGAGAGGAAAAGCATTAGTTTGGCTCCGGATTCTACATAGTTTTGGTTGGGTTTGTGCATCCTGACCTGCAGGTTGACGGGATTAATGGAGGTATAACGTGGCGGCGGATCATTGTTGGGTTTTTGGCGCTGTCAAGCAAAAAAAAAGGGAAGCACGAAGCCAAATAAAAATTGTAAATAAAATGAACAAAAAGGTGTGGGTTTGGGGCCATGCAGGTGTGTGAGGGAGGGTTAGATTATGAATCATATTGTGGGATGTTTGGACTTACACGCATTGACGTCACACAGAAAGAGAGATAAGAGAGACAAAGGAGAAGACACAACCCCGAGAAGCACGATTAAATGTTAGTTAGAGGCAAACAGAGAAAACTACAGGAAAAACCTACCAGAATATTCTCATCTGGGCTGCCCGAATCTTCCGTATTGTTACTTTCCCGCTGCAATAACCCATAAAAATCATGCAAAGACATGCCAAAAAGTGGGAAAATGTAAAAGAAAAGCAAAAAATTGTAGTTACATTTATGAAATTGGTATTCAGATCCTTCTCCTCCGCGCATTTGCCGGGCACCATCGATGGCATTGTCGTTGGCTGTGGCGGCTGATTGGGCGGTATGTTGTAGGCAAACGGTGGCGGCGGCTGTGGCCCAGCACATGCAGCAGCTCCACCTCCACCACCACCACCGCCGAATGGCGGATAATTGAAGGGTTTGCCTGTGGGCGGCATCGGCATATTGGGCAGCGGCGGCACCGCCGGATAACCAATGAAACCCATCTGTGGCGGCGGACCACCGCTACCACTGAGATTATTCCGATCGGACAGATCGATCAGATGGTGTTCCGGCCTCTGTTCCTCCTGCATCACCTGTGGATCCGGCTCGTACTCGATGTTGTAGTTCTTGGCGATGGCAATCAGATAATTTTCCACCAGCAGCTTGGGTGGCGCCTGCAGCGTGAGCTTGTGCATCAGCTTCTCCGACACACTGTGATCCCCGGTGGCCGTGCGATTGTGCTCCGCAAACTGTGGCCCGTACTTCGTGATGAAGATGTCCGAGATGATCTTCAGCTCCGCAATGTCACTCTGCAGACGGGGACACACCCACACAAGGCTGGCCACTGGCTCGGCTATGCCCGAGTCCAGTTCCTTCATTTGGGTGATCAATCCGAAGCGAGCGAGCAACAGGTCGCAGTACATTTCCACCATTTCCATCGCCTCCACCAGGTAATCCTCGCTGCAGGGACAAAGAGTAAACGTGTCTGTAGTGGTGGAGGGTTACCAGACATCCCGTGTGTGTCTCCTACCGTATTATATGCTCCACTCGGATGCGTGCACGCTCTGTTTTTCCCGTGGCCAGATAATCTGCAATCTCCTTCCTGGACTTTTGCGTCAGCTCCGCCTTCTTCTTCTCCAGGAGCTTCAAGCGATTGAGGGCCAACCGCAGGTTGGTCTTCAGCTTGTTGTAGTTGGGTCCGCTGGAGAACATCGTGATGTGGGGCAGCTACTTAACTGTGGCAGCCGTGAAAACTAATAGTAACTACAAATTTGGGTGATTCATTAGAGAAAAACAAATGTCGTCACAGGGCAAGCCAACAGTGTGGCCAGAGCGGAGCTAAGTGAATAATTAGCTCGTATACTTTGACCTTTTGCTTAAACCTTTCTTTATAGGATGTCCAATAAGAGAAGGTTCTTGAAAGATGTGACAGTCTAGTAAAAAAAAAAATGCATTATTCGGCTAAAATTGTATATACCATGCTGTGATTTCTATCCAGCTTTTAATATTGAAGCGAATCTCAAAATCAAGGAATATGATATCCCATCAACAACTAAAATGGGTTCGTTTTCTTCCACGGTATATTTTGACAATAAGAATGTATATTTCGGTATACCTCACTGCCTCCGGCCGTATATTTGATCGAAAAATACGCGGTCACACTAATAGTAGCGGTAAATTCAATCGCTTGTGCGTGTTTTTTTCTTCGTGGTCTCTTGAGCTTTATTTCGTTGCATTTTCAATAACATAAAACCTTTAACAATATTTAGTTACAATTTGAAATTTCGCCGCTGCACTGCAATTGTATTTGGCAGCCGGCTGCCGCAGTGTGTGCCGGAGACAGCACCGCCAGACACAACCACAAAGCAGCGTCCATGCTCCAACTTGTATGTCCATCATAGCGGTTCTTTTGCGTAGGTATGTGTGTTTTTGGATGATTTTTTGTGTTTGTGTGGGAGGGGCCGCCATTTTCGTTTCCAACTTAAAATCTTAACTAAATTTAACCAAAATAATTCATTTTACAGCATTTTGCGATGTGCTCACAAATGCGGAGGATCCGGTGGCGGTTCGGGGCATTCTTCTTCGGGTTCGGTTTCGCACGGACACGCCTCTATCTCGTCGATCATGCAGCCCTCCTCCTCGCACACCTCCGGCGTGCGTGGCGTCGCCTCGGGCTCGGCATCGCGGTAACCGGCATACACCTCCGCCCGCTGCTTGATGATCTCCTGTATGATGGCCGTGAGGATCTCGCGCGAGTCCACAATGTGGCCCACCTCCTCGGCCACTTCCGCTGAGAGCCAGGGGCAGATGCTCTTCATGAGCTGCTCCTTCTTCACGGCATCGCTGGCCGGCTCGATGTTCTCCAGCACCTCTGGCACCAGGCTGGCAATGTGGCCCTGCAGCAGTTTGGCGGCCGTCACGCTCTTCTGCATCTCGGCATCGAGTTCCTTGGCAATGGCATCCTGTCTCAGGCGTCGCTCCTTCTCCGCACGCAGACGCAACTCCTCAGCCTCCAGGCGCCGCAGCTCGGCAAGCTCCACCTCACGCTGGGCGAGGAATCTGCAACGGAAGGAACAAAATATGTAAAAATAATATCTGGAAGGACCTCCGACTGTCGTACTCTTCCTGCTTGCTGCGCAAACTGTCCAATTCCATCTCGTGTGCGACCTCCAGCATGCTCTGCTCGATACAGGCATCCACCAGGACATCAATTATGGGCTGTGCCTCGGCTTCGAAGTGGAAGAGCTCGCCCTCGCCGATTTCGGTGCCCACATCGACGCCCACCTTCGCGGCAATGAATGGCGGCGTTGGCGGCTTCTCCAGAAACAAATCCGTTTGCGTGTCCACCGTGAATTCGGGCGGACGCTGCACCAGCTTTTCCAAATACTTCTCCGTCTGAATGGTCTCGTGCTTGCGGCCCTTCACCGGCGGTGGTGTGCCCAGGACATTGCGCTGGTTTCTGCATTGGATCGAACGTTTTCGCAGCATATTCCGTCGCTTAATTTCTGCGGCCTTGTCGAAGGGATCCACATCCGTCTGTAAAGCGAAAAACACACAAGAAAGTGGATCATTCCCGGGTCACGGCTGCCGCAGGACTGCCTGACTGCTCGGCAATTGAACAAGCCACTTACCACCATGGAGGCGTTGCCAAAGTTGCTGCCTTTTATGACCCGACGGTCGTACATGACGTTCTTGTACGGCTCCGGCGGCGGCACAATGGGTCTGTGGAGGAGGCAAGAAAAAAAGGTGAGTATTCCCATCAATTAAAGGCGCGAACCTCGACCCAGTTCAACGCTCCCTAACGCTCCTCTTCTCTGTATTTTCTATAGCCCAACCCCAAATCTGTTGCACCTCCTCCAACATCGGCCGATAAGCATCAAATTTGTGCATTTCTCAACGCCCCAACGCCCAACAGCAGGCTAGCTGACTGGCTGGCTGCTTGTCAAGTCATCTCCGATTCGAATCAATTCGAACACCCACTCCGCCAGCGAAGTTCACTACACTTTTGGGTCAAATGAAGGAGCGAGCCACTAGTCGATTTCCCTCGAGTTTTAAAGCTTTAAAAACTCCTTCAGCGTCGCTTTGGTGAGTAATTTATTACTTGCTAATTTCTATGTACGTGTATTACCCGTCTAAAAGAAACAAACAATTCCTTGTGTCAGACTTGGAAGAACTTGGATCGTGAACTCGTGACCTATGCAAATTTTTTGTAGCCACTTTTTGGGCGGAAGTCAGACATTGAACGTTGCGCGAATGTCTGGTCTGGTTTGGCTGCGACCGGCCGGCCGGCCTCATGTTCCTATAACTTTTTGGCTCGAAGTAATAGTAGAATTTTCTCTGGGTCTGGGTCTGCTCTGAGCGGAATCAGTTGTAGAGGGATGAGAGGGATTAGAATGTGGTGTAGATAGTTTTGTGAGTGTTATTTGGGTAATAGCTTAAGTTTTTGTATCTTTACTTTATATTTTGGCTATTACTTTGATGCAAAGTTCCCATTAATGAACGGATACTCAATGTTTTTCGACTGTTACCGGCTGTAAAGCCTACATATTCCATATTTTTAGTGTTATTTATACTCCAGTTTCACTATTCATCCTTCCTGTTTGTTGAAATTTCCCATAATTGGAAGGGCTACATCCTTTATTCTGTCTGTTACTGCCAGTATATTCTTTTTTTCTCCATATTTTACTCACACTTAACCCACTTTAATGTACATTCCACTTATTATCTTCTGTTTTCCCTATTTTAGTTGCAAATTACACTCGAAATTCTACACTAAAGAGGCCATAAAAAATGTTATTTACTTAATGCAACCTCTCCCTTTATTTCACATATTTAACATCAGACGAATGTGCAGAGCCATTTACCAGAGACACAACTAGCCAGTGCCAGGAGGCAGAGGGGGTGTCCGGCTAGGGTCGGTCCCATGTCCTTCCTGCCACACATTTGGGCGCTGGCTGGGTGTGGCGCAATTGAACTTAATTTCCCCCTCAATTTGTGGCACTATTTTTTTGTCGTTGCTTTGCTCTTTTTTTTTGGTTGTTGTTTACGAAATCTAGATTTAAATTATTTAAGCTTCCTGCCCCAAACTACAGTACAGACGGGTGTCCTTCTGTTTGCTTGTCCTTGTTTTATGCAAGCTTCTCCCACTTCTCTTCGCTGAGTTTCCTCTTTATAAATTAATCAAGAGTTGACCAAATGAATTGAAAAGCAAGAAAACATGTTCTAATTGAAATGTGAGACCCACGAAATCGATTGAAGGAATGCAAGGAAGCAGGAGGTGAAAGGAGTTGCCTTAGAGCTGCCCCGAGTCCGTTACTCATTTGAATTTATGGTAATATTTGTACGGCACACTTTTCTGCCATTGGATGACCGCCAATCCGGCAAAGGAAACCTGCTCCTTGCGGTGGTTTCTGCCTTCTTCAGGGGTGGAAATTTCTGTGGCTCTTTTATTACCTTTTGTCGCTGGTGCCACGACGTTGCTGCAATTGCTGCTGGAATTGTGCCTTTGTTATGTGTAGACCACCGGCCAGGGATTGGCTTGGATCGCTGGAGGGAGCTTTGGGTGCTGCAGACACTGAAGCCGGAGCCGCTGCCACGGCCGCAGTGGCTGCTGCAACGGCAGCGGTGGCACGATAACCATTTAAACGGGTGGCAGACACCGCCTTGATCTCCTTTTCCCCGGGATTGGGTGACTTGAGCGGGTCCTTTGAGTAGTAGCTCTGCAGGATCATGGGATACGAGGAGTAGGCATAGACATGACGCCGCAGCATCGATGCGGGCAGCATCTGCACCTCATGGGGCGGCGGTAGAAAAATGCCCGTGGGTACAGTCGTCTCGAAGCGCGGACGCTGTGACATTTCGCCCGAGTTGCGGGCGGCCATCCAGGCGCCGGTGGTGCCAATTGGGCTGCCGCCGCCGTAGTTCTCCTCCGGCGCCAGGAAGCGCAGCTTGTGGCTCAACTCATCCGCAAAACTGCGCACCTCCTGGTTGCTCCGCGAGAAGAAGGATCGCGGTGGATCTACATGATCCACTGAGGGTTCCGGTTCGAGCGGCACCTCCTGTCGGCGTGTGGGACGCACAATGGCCTGCTGTGGTCGCGGATTGAGAGCTAGTTCCTCCGCGGCTTGAGGTTGAAGTACGGAGAAGGCGTTTGTCACCACGTGCTGGAAATTGTAGGGACTCTGATAGCGTTGCACGTTGTAGTAGTTGCTGGAGTTTGTGTTGGAATTGGCGTTGGTGGTGCGTCCTGGTGCGTAGGGATAGCTGCTGGAGAATGAAAAGTTCTGCTGCGGCTTGGGAAAGTGATCCTCGTGCTGATTATTGGGGCTACTGCTGCTCGTCTCTGGCATTGTTCCACAATTGTTTTGTAGCACTGCTGCTGCTGCTGCTGCTGCCGGTGCTGCTGCTCCTTCCGCTCCTCTCCGCTTAGGAACGGTCGCTGCCGGTCAACGCAACGTCCATTTATAGCTTATGGCCCTTGGGGCGCGACACACACACACACCACACCACACTCCGTTGAAAAGTTAATCAATATTTGTGCCTTTGTTTCGTTCTATTTTCTAGTATTTATTCCGCCCTTCCACAGCGGAGTGCCACACGCGTTGTACCGCACGAATCGAGTGGCGAAAGCCAAATGACCAAAGGACCTCTCGCGATGGTCCGAACCAGGGGGACCTGACTCGATAAAGTTTCGTGTGCAGCCCATACCAATGTCCCTCTGGGTTGGTCAGCCCCAGAGTGTGGCCTGGTGTGGGGGTTTCCCCCCTTTGATGGTGTTGCAATAATAATGCGAAAACTGTTAACAGGCCGCCAAATCCCAAGACATTTTTGCATAAGAATTGTCGTGTGCTTCGGGTCCCCTTTCCCATTGGTGGACCTTGAATTTCACCTTATCCAAGTGTCGCCCCATTTCCTGTGGCACCTTCTGGCTCGCGCTCCTGCTGGAGATGACTCCACTCATTTCCATCGAATTTGACATTGAATTAATCATGTGGGTGGGCGGGGTTTTTCTTTCTTACCAAGAAATGCTACTTTTCTGCCTCTCTTTCGTGGGAACTAATGTCAATGGCCAAGGTCAATCGCGATAAACGATAAGCCGAGAAATTAGAGAGCAACTTGAAGCATAATTAAGTGGATTTCGCGGCAATTGCAGGCGCCTCTCCCAGACATAGCAGGGAGTTTTCTCTATAAGAAAGCGCCTACTAAGAAAAGGTCGGTTGGGAAATGAAGATGGAGGATCTGTTATTACTGTGGACATGTGGGATGGGCTCTAGGGTAGGGTGTGGGAACAGCTGGCGCTGGTTTTGGGTTTACTTGATCGATATTTGTGGGTAGGAAATGCTTTTAGATGATTCGTATCTACTCTTTGGGCTTTCAGGATAGAGAATATCATTGTTTTCCCTTGAGGAATTACAGGATTGAGCATTAGGAATACATTTTACTTTTCTGTATTGGTTTTTGCGTGATATTCTAAAGGTTTTCTTTAATTTATGACTTTCTGCATGGGAAATACATGATATATTGTATATCATCGTTTCCCCTAGGATTTTAGTGATAGAAATTGATAGATATCCGCGGAATTGATGATTTTACGAATCGATATTCTTTAGACTTTATATCTCTTGTGTTTCAGAGGTTTGGGGCATACACGAATGAGTTTGAGATTGGGAAATACTTGATCCCTGGATGATTTCGTGCTTCCCAAAGTGTTCTGTGTATTTAATCCTTCAGGATATATATATATATATATAATATATCCCTAAAACCTTCAAAAAATTCTTTTAATTTCTTTATCTTCCGCTAATCTTGTAATCGTTAATTTGACCTTAATCCGACCCACGACCTACACCCCCTACATTCCCGTTCTTCTGTCATTATCTTCCCATTTCTGATATATTTTTACGATTGGTGCGTCAATTTCTGTATTTTTTTAAGCACCCAACGAGCCAGTGGACAGTTCGTAAAAAAAAAGGACGCCTGCCTGCCTGCCCGCACCTAAATCATCCTTCGTGTTACTTCTATTGTTGCCACGATTTGTGGCACACGAAGGTTTCCATTGATTGCGTGTGTTCCCGTCCATTGTGTTGACCTGTGGATGCCACCAGGCCCCCGCAGCCATGCCCCGCGAAAAGCATTTAATAATTTATTTACGCAATTTATGACTTTCGTTTTCTATGCCTATCGACGGATTCCATTGACCCCAACAGCGAGGAGGGAAGGGATTTCCACTCCGATTTGTACTTACTTGGGACAACCTTTGATTTTGATGGGTTTCGGCTGACTGGCCCACCAGAATGCCTGCTTGCAGGGCGGTGCCGGGCAGGGATTGTCCTGCCACTTGAGCTGCATCTCCGTGACCTCTGTGCCGATGAGGAAATCCATGCCGGCACTCTTGTTGCCGCCGCCACCACCCAGGCGATGGCCACAGCCATTTGGCTTGTAGTCGCGTTTCGGTATCGTTGGCATCACACTTTTGTGGGTGTTTTGTTTGTGTTTATAAATTTACGACAAAATGATCACTCGGAGATTGAACGGAAAATTATGTGTATACAAATATGGTCCCAAAGTGACATTTTTTTCTTGGGGTTTTTGTTGTTGCTTTTCACTTGAATTTTTGTTGATTATTTTGATGAAATTTTGCTTGAATTTTACTTGAATTTGTATCAAAAATAAACAACAACGGCGGAATTTACATTCAGTTGCCATGGGAATGCATTTTGCGGCATTGTTAAAGAAAACTGTTGCCGATGTGGGGGAGGAGGCGGAGTCCTTGCCTCCTGTTGCAATGCGGCATTTAGGGGGTGGGGTGAGGAGTTTTTCTATGCCGATAAATCTGTGTTTTTAGTCTCTCTGATAAGTTTATCGACTAAAAGAATGAGTACTTTCGTCACAGCAAATTATGATTTTTCTTAATTGTCGTGTTTTTTCCTCACCGATTTATTGGTTGTATAAATTATTTAAGCGCTGATTGTCTACTGTCTGTCTTTTAGTGTGAGATTTCTATTTATATATCTCTTAATCAAATAGGAACGTCGGACAGCGGCAAGGAACTTAATAAGCTTTTCTCAGCTTAAAGCTTGGGACTCGAGAAGTTCTGTCCTCGGAATTTTGAATTTGAACTGCAATTTTTGTGTAGCCATGTGGTAGCCTTGCTGTGGTGGCAATGCTAAAGCGATGTTTTTTTTAACGCGGTGGCAGCATGAAAGTAAAGCAGTTTTAGCTGCCACACTAGCAATGTTTTTTGAACAGTGTGGCAGCACAGCCATAAAGCAGTTTTGCAGAACTGCTTGTAAGCAGTAAATGTGTTTCGGCATCAATGCAGTTGTTCGTCAAGCAGTAGTTGTAGTCGGTAGCGGCAAAGCAGCGCTTTTAAATTTTTGAATTTCGAATCCATATCCATGCTTTGACTTAAGCTGGAGCAGCTAATTTCCGATAATTATCAGAAAAATGCTAAATAAATAATGCATTTAAATTGGACATTACTGTGATTCAATCCTTGCTAATTCCTAGAAAAATTAAGAACCTTTCGAGCATTAATCAATTCAAATCTGCTTTCAATCAAATGCCAGCCCGCTCTCCCTGTATCTAATTTCATAGGAACGTGTCATTTAATTGCCTTTTCCCCTTGCATTTTCTTAATATTTATCATTAATCCCCCGCTCTAAACGATACCGATCCAAACGGAAGGGAAATTACATGTTGCATCCTTTTGTGTTTTGTTTTTGCTTATTCATTAACACAATCCAATGGATCCGTGTGCCCGTAATGAGGAGTGGACAATGACTGTGCGACTGTCGTGCGATGACGTTTTGCTTTATGTCTGGCCTCCGTCTCTGATGCGCGGGGGTGATAATTGTGTCCCCTGTCCTGTGTGGCATACCCCCTTTAGCTGCCGTTTCTGTCTCTCCGCTCTAACAAGATCACAGGGGCAGGCGGCCCCTTCAACATTCAGTCAACAATCAATAAGTGGCCATGACGTTTGACATTTGAATCTTTTATGGAAAAGGTTAATGATGCCACCACTCGATGGGCAACAGAGGGCCACACAGGCGATAGCCCCTTGGAGTGGCGACACGAGGCTGCCAGATCCCTGTCCCTTGGATTTTTGTCCAAGCAATTTCCCGATCATTTGCACAGATACTCAGAGTCCGAGCCCTGAGCCCTGCCTTTTCTGCGAAGCCTCTCGGGGGAAAGGAAGGGAAAGGAAAGGAAAGGAAAAGTGTGTATGTTTGTGTCCCAGTGCGTCTCCATGTCAAACAAATCATTTTACACAGATCTTCGTACTCGTAATCATACTCGAACCTACTGTTTTTTCCTGTGCGTTTCGTAGGTGTGAGAGCTGCAGTTTTCCCAAGAAAATTGATTAATTTATTGACTTGCGAGAAGGGAACAACTGATACGGAAGGGTCGTAGGTTGAAGGCCGCTGGGTAACGGTGTCACAGGGCTCGTAAAAAATATTTTAAAGACAGAAATTGTGCGGGCACTGGACATTTCTTTATGAGTTATTTATGTGGCGCCAATAGGAAACTGATGATGAATATTACACAATGTTGAAAAAATGTACGAAAATGCAGATAAGAAATTACTTTCATATTTAATTTTATTTTATCAAATTTTATTACGATTTTGAAATGTTTTTAATGCCTTTTTATTGTTATTTATTTTTTTTTTTTTTTTTTTTTTTTTTTTTTTCTCTCTCTTTATATTTACAATTGTTATTTATGAAATAAAATCATTCTCTTATCTGATTTATTTGATACTCGCTTTTGAATGGTTTTAAAAATATTTCTGGAGTTTTTTTAATGATTTTTTTGCATGCCGTGAAATGTATAATTATTTTTATGCACTTGTTCTCAAAATATCATTAAAATACTTTGATTGTCGCCTAAAATAAATAATGTACGATAATTAATACAACATTTAAATGAAAATATTTCCTTCTTTGGGTTTTTGCAATTTATTTGACACGTAAATTCCCTCAATCAGTAGATAATGCCCCCATCCGAGTCTCTCCAGAGACCAATAAACACACCCAAATTAAAATAAATATAACAATTTTTCCGTCTTAATGACAAGTCCCTCAGTCTCAGTCATATAACGCATAAGAAATGCAAAACACGCAAACTGAAATATTACCCCGCGAAAGTACGGCTGGGGGGTATTATTGATGGCCAACCTTTAGTGTGGCACAAGTGGGTCTTTAACTGTTTGTTTAACCTCTGCCTAAATAAGTTCGAGTGTTAGTCAGACATTAGACATTGCCGGGGGACTCTTCTTGTGCCGATGGATTTGCATGCCGGGTGTTCAGACTTGAAAAAAGAGAATCCAATTCAATTCGTTTGTCGATCGATTGTGAACTACAATTCTGGAATAACTTAGGCAGGGTGAAACGCAAGGCGTTGGACAGAGGGTTAGGGCAGGAGAAAATAGAAAATGAAATAAAAATAAAAACGCGATCGTCTGATCGTCAAAAGGGACAGAGCGCAGCGCACAGTCAGAACCGACAGCAGCAGCAGCAGCAGCAGCAAGCAGCAGCAACAATGAGAATGAGCAATATATAAAATCGCATCGGAATTGCTAATTTCTTATACGATTTCTGTACGGTTCGGGGCTTTGCTTGGGGTTTCTTTCTGTCAGGGGTTTTGTTCCTGAGTTTTGGATGGAACTGGAACCTGGGACAGCGACTGGGGGTTCGGTTTTCTGTTGTTTTCTGTTCTGTGGCCCCTCGCGATCTTTGGGGTCTGGAACGGCGGGCCAATGCCGCTTACGTTGCCGGGTTCCTGTCACCGTGTCTGACCCTCCTCCATTTTGTGGACTTGTGTGTTTCAGCTTTCTGTTTGATTTTTGTGCGACAATTTTTGACATGCGGATGTGCCATGTTTAACGAGACGAACAAACTGTCGTTCGAGGTACAGCTGCAGCCCCAGAAACAAATCCTTTTTGCCCAGCATTTACAATAAATTGAATTTGACCAAAGACCAATGCTGTTTTGTGGTTAAGAGAGAAACCCCTCTGCTGCCGCTTCCCCCTCTTGCTGCTGTTCCTCTCCCAGTCGGAGTCGAAGTCCGAGTCCTGCTGCTCGTTGCAATCAAAGTTGCAGGCAAGTGAAATGCTTGTGAAAACCGCAGGAAATTCGTCGAATTTGCCATGCGGTAAACTGTGTTGCCAGGGCCATGGCCTTTGGATACAGAGGGTCCAAGCAAACCAGAGTCCTTGCTGCTGCTGCTGCTGCTGCCGCCTCGGTTACTCCCCCCTACTGCCATTGTCGAATGCATAATTGATGCGAATGTTTGCGGCCAGTGTTTCGGGCTTAGAGCATCCCAAAACCCAAAAACCATTCCTCATAATTGAGTCGCACTCGCATTTCTATCTGCAGCATCGACTCTTGCCTGCCCCTGCGACTTGCAAACCAAGAAAAAAACTGGCTAAAGTTCAATTGCTGAAACTGAGATTTTTTCTCCTACAGTTTTAGCTGCGAGTGCGAGTGCGAGTGCGAGACTCTAATGAAATGCAGTTGGGAAAGCCGCAGTTTTTCAATTACATATTGAGGAGAAGTTGCTTTGTGGATTTCCCCCGGTAGGTATTTAATATGTAGATCAGAAATGGTGTTGGAATGCTATCAGGTTTTTGTATAGCTGTGGAGAAATGTACAAAAATAGCAAGATTTTGATAAGAACTACCAAGAAAGAGACGCAGAATGAAGTAAATATATTAAAACTCTGTAGCAATCCGTTCCAAATAATAATAATTCTAATAATAATGGCAGAAAAATTATTTTTTGTTGAACATTTCTTATTTCTCCAGCGAAAATTAGGTCCAAAATGTCTCCCTTTTATTGATTTGTTTCTACTTTTTCCTTTACCAAAATTCCCACACATAAAGAACAAAATATTATGACTCGCAGCACCGTTAGGCGCCACCTGTGCAGGCTCCTAAAATCTTAATCCCGTTGCCAGGATAAGCATCTCCTTGCTGGTGTCACACTTTCACTGCTTGTCGCCTGGCCAGACAGTTTTCCATGGAAATTACCTGCCAGCAGCTAGCAGTCAGCAGGCCGTGGCTGCACGTGCAATTCTCTCGAGAGTTTCCCTGGAAAAACATTGTTAACAATTATTGTTGTTGTTTCTGTTTTTTTTTTTTGGGCACTCGATCGTAATCGATCTTTTTTGGACTGTGGGTGTCAGTGCCTTGTTTTGGCTCATAACTCAATTAAGTTGAAGATTTTCTTGGTTTTTCTGCTACGTGTGGAGATGTTTATTAGTGGCAGGGAATAACCATTATCAATTGCCCATTATGCAGTTTGTTGTGGCCACAGGGACGACTTCCGTTTTCACTGGAAAGCGTGTGGAAATTGCCCGTTCCTGTTGGGTAGAAAGAACAAGTGTTAAGGATGCGCGTGACTGGCCAGAAGGAGTTGCAGTCACGTAGCCAAAGGGATTACGGAGGACGTGTGAAAACAGTTAGAAGTTGAAGATCATTTGAAGATTTCTCTCTGTTTCTCTTTCCATTTCCTTTGCTTACAATTTGAGGCACCATCCAGGGGCCACAAAATA